TAAAGAGAGACATGTTTAAAACAAAGATGCACAGTTGCAACTTGAATCTACAGCCTGAATCCATGTGATAAATGTTAGTGTGATCAAAGTTTCACTGACCATACTAAGGCTGTAATCAAGTCATTTTACTCTTTCTGGCATCACTGTATTATACTCAATTGTATATAGCATTTGTATTCTATTTTATTCTATTGTGTACAGTTGTGTACAGTATCTTATTCTTATCTTATTCCAGTGGTTTTTCTTCTTCTAATTTTTCTGTAGAACTTTGCACTGTCCACTTTCTGCTGTTACAAAACAAAACAAATTTCCCACCTGTGGGACCAATAAAGGTTATCTTATCTCATCTTTTTGTCATCTCAGACAGAGACACGTTCCAGTGCGATCCCAGCAGGAAGCTTATTCATGCCTTTATTTATTTAAAAAACACGACCATTGGATAGTTAGTTAGTTCAAAATACTGCTACAAGAATTTTAAGGAAAACCAGGAGTGACATCACTGTGATTCTCTGCTCCCTGTGTTTGTTTCCAGAATTGAATAAAAAATATTCCTTACTGCCAGGGTTATTTAGAATAAAAAAATATCCAAAATATTAATCAGTTCATCCAGGGCTGGCAGGGTACACCATGCACAGGTGACCTGACTATCACATAGAGACACAGGGAGCCACGGGTGATGAGAAATGAGCCTTGTGTGGTTCTAGAGCCACTGGTCTTCATCAGCTTTTCACCTTACATGTTTGCCATGAATCATTTTCTTTACAGGCCTTTTTTCTCTTCAAGAAACCAGCACTGTATGAAAAAGTTGGTCCACAAACTTCCTCTTTAGCTCTGTATTGTTCATTAGTTTCAGCTCAACAAGCTGTTATTTCCCCTGCAGGCAGGCGACAAACAGCCATCTCCAGTCCTCTGCCCAGGGAGTGCTGAGAGGTAAATATAGCACAGGAAGCTGATGCTCTGGTCACAGCAGCGCTCTCTCAGGTGCTTGTTAGAAGATAAAAAAAAAAGGCACACAGTGTGAGACAGAAAAGGCCTGAAAACACAGAGTTTATAACAAGCTGTTTAAACTCCACGACCTGATGCTGAAGAGAAACGTCATCTCAGTCTGCAACCATGGTGACAGAGCTTAAACTGAATGCTAATGTCAGTATGCTAATACTGATGTTTAACAGCTCAGAGGTTAGAAATCAAGTCAGTGCCACAACTGCAGTTCCTCTGCTGGCCACTTGAGGCTGCTTCCAACGGTGAGTCAGCATCCACGGTCTCCCACGTGAAAGTATCCAACCTTACAGCTAAAATAAACTATTTTACAGCCTGACGTTGAAACTGTTTTAGACTCCATGAATGCGGTTTACCTTCTTAAAAACTTTGAGATGTGAACTCGTTATTATTAAAATTATTAAAACTGTGGGCGATCGTGGCTCAAGAGTTGGGAGTTCGCCTTGTAATCGGAAGGTTGCCTGTTCGAGCCCCGGCTTGGACAGTCTCGTGTGTCCTTGGGCAAGACACTTCACCCGTTGCCTACTGGTG